ATTTTATTAATTCTGATATTTATTTATTATATTTATTTTGATTTGTAAATAAAAGTGAAATAAAAAATAAAATAAATGATAAACTATTACAATTATAAATTTTTTTATTAAAAAATTAACAAAAAGCTTTATGTTAATTAATATTTATTATTTTACTATTTTTTATAATTTTTTGTTAATAATCTTTAAATATTTGATATTGTATACATTGTATACTTCCTTTATTTCAATATTCTTAAGAAAAATAATAAATAAAAATATTTAAATATAGAAAATAAGTTTTTTTATTAAAAAAAAAATAATACATTACTTATTTAAATTTTTAGAAACATATATTATTTTTTATTACAATTTTACAATTTGAAATTATATTAAATTTTAATAAATTAAAATTAAAAAAAACAATTTAAAGAAATTATTTTTTTAAGAAAAACTTATTGAACTTAAAAATTCATGATAAATTTTTATTTTTTATTTTTATGATATTATTACATTAATTATATTTTATATTATAATAAAATTTCTGTATTTTAAAATAATATTTTTAATTAATTTAAATATTTTAATTTTAATAATTTTTTTTTAGTATAAAATATTTAGTAATATTTACCATATTAATATCTTTTCATTTGAATTTTTAAAATTCAATTAATTGATATCATATTCTAAAGTTTTAGAAATATAATCTATATAATAAAAATTTCAATTAATTTGTTTTTAATTTAAAATATCATTTTTTTAATAATATATATTATTTTTACTTACTGATTTTATTAGATTTCTTATTAGATTCATTAAAATAGCTTTCATTTAATTTAAATTTTTTAGTATTTTTATCTAAATATTATTATTTATTTTTAATAAAAATATTAAAATATAATTTAATTTTAAATAAAAAGTTAATCATACCATTATTATTACTATTATTAATTATATTTTCTTTATATTTTCTTTTACCTTTATAAATATATGTTAATTTAATAATTATAATAAATGAATTCAATTATAAAATTAAGCAATTTACCAAAAATGCTTTGATTTTTTGAACTTATAGATTTTATACCAGTAATTATACTACTTGAATGTTTAGTAAATTTATTTGTTATTATAGGTCCAATGTTTAATGATTTTATAATTTTAGTTGGATTACTTTCTTCCTTTAAAATGATTTTATTAATAAATTTATATATATTACTAGCTGTTGGTCTTTTATTTGGATTATAATGCCAACATTCTTGCATTATTTTAATATAGCCTTCTGGTGCATTTGTATTAATTGGAGGACGTAAACCATCAATAATTTCAATAATAAGTGATGTATCATAATCTCTATTTAAAAAAGGCCTTCTACCTGTCATTAGTTCCCACATAATTATACTAAAACTATAAATATCTGAGGCTTTAGTATATTTATTAGTTTTTTTTCCTTGAAAAATCTCTGGAGCAATATAAGGAATAATTCCATAATAATTATTGTCATTTTCTGATACTTCAGTTGATAATTTACTAATTCCTAAATCATTAATTACAATATCATAGTTATCATATTTATTTTCACAGAGAATATTTCCACTATGAAAATCTCGATGAATAATTCCTTGATTATGAATATTTTCAAGTGCAAAGATAACTTGTTGTAATATTTTCAATTTTTGTTTCCATTTAAGATTATAAAAGTTTTCAGTAATATAATTTTTTAAATCATATTTATAATATTTTGTAATTATTACAAAATCTTCTGTAGTAGGATTTTGAGTAATTCCATAATATCTATTTAAACAAAATAAAGAAGTTATGAATCCATCATTTAAATCTGCTTTATAAATCATCATAAGCTAATATTAATAAAATAAATTAATATAAAATTTATTAATAATAAATAAAATATATGATTAAATAATATACCTCATTCAATTCATTAGAACTAATATTTTTTGAATTTTTAAGTTGTTTTAAAGCAACTATAATATTAGGTTCATTATATTCAAAATCTTCTTTATCTTCATTCCAATATGATGGCCCATTATTCCAAATAGCTTTATAAACTTTACTGAAACCTCCTTCACCAATAATTTCTATATTATTAAACTGATCATAAGAAATGAATTTCATTCTGCTAGATTCTTGAATAAAATTAAGTTGCGTATATTTAATAAATTCATCAACAGTTTTATTTCCACTTGGATTATATAATAATTTAGATTGATAACAAATTATACAAATATCATGATATTCTTTTAAAGGTCTTCTTTTTTTAATACAATTTTTACATTTATTATAAATATCATTTTCTGGTTCAATTATAAATCCTTTTATTGATGAAATCTTATTAATTTTATAAAAGTCTTGTTTTATATCTTTATTTTTTACAGCTTTTTGATACCAATAAATTGCCATCTTCAAATTCTTTTCTGTTCCTTTTCCTTTATAATAACAACTTGCAAGATTAAATTGTGCATCTACGTAATCATTTTCAGCAGCTTTTTGATACCAATAAAAGGCCTTTTCTAAATTTTTTACTGCTTCTTTACCTTTATAATATAAATTAGCAAGACTAAATTGTGCATTAATTTGTCCATTTTTAGCAGCTTTTTGATACCAATAAAAGGTTTTATCAAAATTCTTTTTTATTCCTTTACCAAGTTTATATAAATATGCAAGATTGTATTGTGCATCTGCATTATTATTTTTAGCAGCTTTTTGATACCAATAAAAAGCTTTTTCAAAATTCTTTTCTATTCCTTTACCAAGTTTATATAAACATGCAAAATTGTATTGTGCATCTGCATTATTTTTTCTAGCAACTTTTTGATACCAATAAAAGGCTTTTTCAAAGTCATTTTTTGTTCCTTCACCAAAGTAGTATGAATTTGCAAGATTGAATTGTGCATTAATTTGTCCATTTTCTGCAGCTTTATAATACCAATAAAATGCTTTTTCAAAATTCTTTTCTGTTCCTTCACCAAATTTATATGAATTTGCAAGATTATATTGTGCTTTAGGATGCCCATTTTCTGCAGCTTTTTGATACCAATGAAAGGCCTCTTTTAAATTATTTTCTGTTCCTTCACCTAAATAATATTTATCTGCAAGACTATATTGTGCTTCTATGTGTCCATTTTCAGCGGATTTTTGAAACCAATAAAATGCCTTTACAAAATTCTTTTCCGTTCCATCACCAAAATAATATGCTTCTGCAACTTTATATTGTGCATATGATTCATTATTATTTTCTGCAATATTTTGATACCAATATAAGGACATTTCTAATTCCTTTTCTGTTCTATCACCGTTTTTATATAAAAATGCAAGGTTATATTGTGCATCATTATGTCCGCTTTCAGCAGCTTTTTGGTACCAATCAAAGGCCTTTTCTAAATTCTTTTCTGTTCCATTACCATTTTCATATAATAATGCAAGATTAAATTGTGACGAAGAATGCCCGTTTTCGGCAGCTTTTTGGTACCAATCAAATGCTTTTTCTAAATTCATTTCTGTTCCTTCACCAAATTCATATAAGTATGCAAGACTATATTGTGCATCTACATTATTATTTTCGGCAGCTTTTCGATACCAATAAAATGCTAAATTATCATTGACATCTGTTCCAAATCCCTTTTTATAGCATCTACTCAAATATAGTTGCGCAATCGGATAGTCGTTTGCAGATTTTAGGAAACACATAAATCCTTCATAATTATTTTCATCTAAGCTGAGCATATTGTAATAAGAAAAGATTCCAAGGAAAAAAATATTCTTTGATTCATTTTGATTTTCATTAAGCCAGTTGAAAATGTCATCAGTTGATCGAGCAGAAAGTATAATGCATTTATTAAGAAAATCCTTCGTTTCATCAAAATTTTTACCTTCATTTACTATTTTAATCAATAGTTTGAATAATTTATCAATTAGAATATTATTATTATCAATTTCTGAAATGTCGTCATTTTCTGACATGCTTGTATTTAAATTTTATATGTATAAAATTAATCTCTCTCTGGTTTATCTATGAAAATCTTAAGGAGTTAAATTTTTTTTTCGAAAAAAAATATTAAAAGCGTTCTTTATATCGGAATCGGGCATACACCCAATGCATGCATAACTGGCCGGAATTTCGAAGATTAAAATAGGTTATACAAATTCCTATAAAGAAATAAGGATTACGCCATGTTTATCCTCTTACAATTCAAGTTAGATCCGCATATCGACTCTTTTTGATAACAAGGATATTTTACAGTTATTATCCGGATATCTCCATAGATTATTCGGATTATTCGGATAGCCACAACATCGGACGTATTTTGAGTTTGAATATAAACCTCCACAGTAATTTAAGAAACTATGCCACAATTTTATTTTAAATCAAAAAAAAAATATTTTTCTCTTTTATTTTTATTTACAATTATTATAGAGATATTAGCGGTAGTTAAAAATGAAAGTTTTTTATTTAAAATGAACCAGCCTATATAAATATTTTGAAATAAATTGATCAATATACTAAAATAAGTGATTGTCTTCAAATTTATCATCGGATAAGGTACTTACAACAAAAGACCTTAAATGATCTCAAATGACCTTATTGTTATTATAAATTTCAAGTCAAATGACCTAATAATTTGCCATCACTGCTTACAAATACAAATATAAGTTTTTTTTCGAATGAAAGTTTGATAATAACTCGATTTTCGGTTTCCGTTACACGGCCGGGTCACTTTTGGAAAAAATTTTTATATGTGAAATTGTATCACGTGACTTCGCAGTATATTTTTATTGGCGCAAATATTTATAGTATTTTATCGTATTCTTTTATTATGTTTGCTTGATTTTACAAATTTCTTTTCTTTGCTTTTTCTCTTTTTATTTTCAACAGATATATTACAGTCTTCATAATATGGTTATCATATTGACATGCAGCTTCCCAAGCAATGCATTGAGCTGAAGTCGTTTCTCCAATTATTTACCACAAATCAGGTGAAAGTATGAAACTGATATATCGTCAAAAATTCTTTTATTTTTGTTTCTTTTTCAACAGGTCACCATCCCATTCTTTTAAACTTTAGAATTATGACTTATTCGTACGTGTATGATAGACATTTTAATTTCGAAATGATAAAATGATTTAGCAATGAAAAACTCGTACTTAAAACAAAGACCGGGCCCCCAGGTCGATTTAAAATTTTCATGTAACGTGAACCGAAAATCAAAATTTGCGTGTCCTTATCAATTATAAAAGATTGTTAACAACAAAGCCATTGTACATATTCATAAAAAATTCTATCTTTTCAATCACGAATTCTTAAAACTTTTAGGATCAAGAAACGTTCGACTCAAATTAAAATTTTCTTATACAAAATTTTTTAAAGAATTTAAAAGCTACATCAATGTCATCAATTCTATCATACATACTAACATTTGTAATTAACAATTAATTTTAATTTAACATTATGGTTGCGATTATTAATATACTCCAAACTATTTGATAAAATTTACCATCCCTTTAAAAAACTTTGATTCAGCTGGATTGAAGCTTGAATTCTCATTTTCAAATAAAATACCTATTATGTTTTTCAGGTACGAATATGCAGTTCGATAATTTTCGCAAAATTTGCATTGAACTGTACCGTACTTTATAACATATATCATAACCAGTACGACTGTAAGGACTTTCTTCATGCCGTACCGTATCGGTAATATATATAGAGCTTATATTAATAGGTCCGGTACGATTATTTAGTATAATCACGTGACTAACAAAGCAAAAGTGACCTTTTTTTTTTGCTGGGGAGCATTATATTTGAAGTAGTTTAATCAATTAAATATTGTTTATTTGTTTATTGATAAATCAATACAAAATAATGCATAAATGAAGTTTCTTGAACTCAGATTACCATATAATAAATTTCTTTTTGCATTTGACAAATTAACAAATATACACTTAAATCAAGCAAAAGATTACTCTAGGACTATAGTAAATACTAAATTTCTAGTTGTACCAAAAGATGATAATTAGTCCTACGCAGACTGTCTCAGCCTTTACATCATTCTTATACAAAGTAGGACTGCAGGTTTTATTTATAAATAGCGAACTAATATATCTTTATATATTTTAATCTACTAATTTAAACATTCAACTTTATTTGCTCCAACCACGGTTTTAAGCATAAACTTGCTCGAGCTACAAACGTTTTCTTGTTTGAGTTATTTGTTTTCCAGCAATTGAAAAATACTGCTCACAAGAACATAAGTTGAAATTATAGCCGAGCTATCTTTTCCAATAATGGATACTCAGTTGCATGAAATTTCCTCTATCCAATAGAATTACTTCATCACCAGGAGAATTAAAATCGAAGTGGTTCTAAATTGGTATCAAATTATTCTGATATAAATTAATAAATTCATTGCGATTCCACGCTTTAAATAAGTTCAAGAGTAGTTTGTAGATTTTTTTCTTGAAAAATGACTTTGTCCAACCTTGCAACTTTGCAATAGAAAGTGCCGAGAAAAATAAAAAAGGAGTTAATGCTAAATTTGAATATATTTCAGCCTAAAGTTCATATTTGGCATATAAAAATTAAATTGATTTTTCCTGGCATGTTCAACCTTTTCTATTGCAAAGATCCCATATCTTTTCATCTTTTTTTTTTATTTTCATTTCGAGTAAAAAATTCCATATCTGTGATTCCACATCAATTGCTGTGTCACCCTCAGATTTTGACTGCGCAAAAATTGGATTACCGCGCGTCTATAATGAATGCACTATACTATAAAAATATTATTATAATAGTTTTTTTAATAATTTACATTTCTGATATTCAGAATGGCATTATATTGTAAAAAATAATATAATTATTATTTTTTTTTTAATATTTAAAATTCAGATGACATTAATTTTTAAAAAAAAATGTTAATATCATTGTTTTTTAACAATAATGCATCTCTGACATTCAGAATGGCATTATATTATAAAAAAAATACTATTATAATTATTTTTTTAACAATTTTACACATCTGATAATTGGAAGGTATTTTATTTAAAAATAATATAATTATTGTTTTTTAACAATAAATTCTCCTCTTACTTTTGGACATGAAAATTTATTATTTTTTAACAATAAATTTCGTCTTTGATTTTTGAAATGGAAATTTATTGTTTTTTAACAATAAATGCCACCTCTGACTTTTGGAATGGACTTATTATTAAAAAAATATTTTTTTTTTATTTTTTTAATAATAAATGCATCTCCAACTTTTAAGATGGCATTTTATTAATTTATTTTTTTAATAATAAATACCACCTCTGACTTTCGGGATGTACTTATTATATTTTTTTATTTTTTTTATTTTTTAAAAATAAGTTTATCCTGAAAGTTAGAGGTAGCATTTAGTATTAAAACTTTAATAAACTTTAATTATAAATACTATCTTTAACTTTCAGAACAGATTTTTTATTTAATATCTGACAAATTAGATTTGAATTTAAATCTGAATTTGACAGATCAGATCAAATACAAATTCATACTGAATCTAATTCTAATCTGATAAATCCAATATAATCTGATCAGTCAGTTCTAAATCAGATTCAGATCAAATCAGATTTTTTATGAAATACTATTTAAAAATAAATTAATAAATCAAAAAAGATACTATAATTAAATTTATCAAAAATACATAAAATTAAGTTTAAAAAAATAAATTTCACTTTTAGTAAATTTAAAATAGCTATAAATATTATAAATTATTTGATTGTAATATTAAATAAGATAATAATAAATTACATTAAACTTTATAATATATTAATACTTTGAATGATTTAAATTTTAATATTAACAAAGTATTAATTATTATAATAAATAATTCTAACAAATACTAAATACATACAGAATTCTTTTACTTTAAAAAAATATCAAACTTAAAATTATATCAAATATTATATTATTATCATAAAATCTATAAATATTTGCAGCTAAACTAGTATATAGTATATTACAATTAATTATCCTAAAATATAGCTTAATTGCATATAATCATAATTCATAACCACATTATTATTAGTTATCATTATTATAATATAAGTAAAATAAATTAGTTTTATTATTTAGTTTTATATATATATACAAATTTATTATTTAATTTATATGTTTTATACAATAAAATTAGTTTTGTATCTGAACGTTCTAAACGTGAAAACAAATTAACAAAACGAAAAAGAAAATTTATTTAGTAATTTTGACTGCGCATCTCTTGGATATAACTTTTTTACTTCATTTCTAATGAGAAAATTTATCAAAAAAAAAAATAATATTTGAAGATAATTACGTAATTGATCTGCATCACCATTTATGTATATTTATAGCGTGGTAAAGTTTCCAAATTTAGGTGATCGAACTAATAAATTTTGGATAACTTATTTCCACCCCGAAATAAATATTATTACTAAAATTTAATGCAGTGTTACAAATAAAATCATGCGTAAAATAAGTTTCAATCTAATGGTGCACAATTCAATTTACATTTATCCATCTTATTAATACTAAATTTCCTTTGTTCAACCGGTAATAAACAACTTCTGATTGAAAACGGTTTATTTTTTTATACTTGTAATATGTATAAAATGAATATAAAATGCATCGACAATTAAAAAAAATTTAAAAAAAAATTTAAAAAAAAAATAACTTAAAACTAATATGGATGATGTAAATGAAGTTATTGTAAATGGGGCGCTAGAAACCGATTTTAATCTTATTGGGACGATAGCAATATTAGTAACCAGCACGATTAGTAATTTGTCAGTTATCGTGATGTTTTGGTTTATTATAAGCAAAAATCATTCTTCAATACATGGCGTAGTTAAAAAATTAGTATTGAATCTATTTTTATCCGATTTTATACAGTCTTTGGGATTCATGTTAAGCTATAATTGGGTCAAAAGGGGGATAATAGAACAAGGAATTTATTGCGATATACAAGGTTACCTCATCAACTTAGGGGACGTATCCTCGGGATTTTGGGCATTCATAATATGCTTACATACTTACATGGCCGTGATCGATTATAAATGTCCACATTTAGTATTACTGTCCATGATAACCATATGGCCGTTCAATATCCTAATATCGGCTTTAGGTTTCGCAATTCAAGTTTCTCCCGATAACGGTAAAAGATTTTATGGTAGCGCGGGCGGTAGTTGGTGTTGGATTGATAAAGAATATCAAGAGTATCGAATTGGTTTTCATTACGGTATCATCTTACTCATTGCCTTGGCCATGATCATCATTTATGCCATCATGTTTGTGATATTGCACAGGCGTCAACGAACAAATGAAGCGAGAATTTACAAAAAGGATATACAGCGTGCGAATAAGAAGATCGTTTGGTATCCTGTCGTTTACATTGTTCTCGTATTTCCATTAGCCCTTCGTAAGTTATCATTTTTTTTGACATTTGTTCATACGACGTAATTACCTAACTGCGCGTTAAATATCTTTACAGAACGTATCGTTGGTCTTGCTTCCCATAATTCAAATGTTTGGTCCACTGATTAGTAAGCGCAATTTAGTAAAAGATTCTCTTCTTTTTTTTAAAAAAAAAATTAATAAATTCTAATTATTCTATCATTACTTTTAGTTTAATTCCAGCGGCAAGTATCTTTACGAGTGCAGGATTTGTAAATGCATTAATTTATAGTATAACACGCAACCTCGTATCTGTTAAATCTGTGGTATCCATGGTGCCCAAGATTCGCCGATTCACTACCAATTACTCATCAGCAACGACTAGTTCGTTCTTTTGTGACTCAATGTCTGGAATCCCAACCGATATGGATCCCAAGTCAATCATCTCAATTGCAGTCACACAGCCGATGCGAATAAGTTTTATGAACCACCCGACGTTTATTGAATGTGATGATGTATCGAGTTCTAGCGCGGTAACTCTGGAAAGTCTTACCCATTCAAATGATCCATTAAACAGTCATGATCGAAATTACTCTAGTTCATCGGATTCGATCTCTCCCGTTTGATTTTATGATTTATTAGATTTTTAGATTGTTAATTATAAGTAATTTTATTAAATGTATAACTATGATTAATGTATGCAAATATATTCTTATTCGTTCGAACTCCCCATTACGTTACTCATTTCCCTCCGATTATCAACAAACTATTTGATATGATCTCCCATTATTTAGAGTCACATGTAGAATTATTACGTATAAAAATATTATTACAAATTTTTTTTTTGTTCCAATCCTTTATTTGTATGTAATTCGTTTTTTATTATTATTTTTTGAATAATTGTATATAATGTTTTAAATAGAAACTTTAATAGAAGGTAAATGACAAAAACCAGTATAAAACTTGAATTATTTTTGCATTACCCAATAAATAAATGAGCTATTATTATAAGCAGATATCTTAAATGAATATTGTTTTCAGTTTAATCAAAATATAATTGGTGAATCTATGAGATTTTATCAATATTTCAAAGAACTGTTTGTTTGTAGAGATGCGAGGAAAATCTTGCTTACAGCGCCTCAAAAAAAAAAAGATTCAATCAATGATATTAAATTGATATTTATCATTACAAAAAAAAAAAATCTTTTTTTCTCTCTCATTTTTCTATTTTGTAAAGTTATCGTCCAGTCTCCCAAATTAGGAATTATTTGTCATATATGAGTTTCTTTGCGGTTCTCACATTTTGGTGCTTGTATAATAATGATGTGGTGGCACGAGCATTGAAGAGCCAGATTTCGGCTCGAATTTTGGTTAGATTCTTGTCGATCCTCATTTACGATCCCAACTTAGACAAGGTGTATCGAGTGATGAAAAGAATGACGAATGTATCAAAAAAAAATCTGAATGGTGCATTTTCTTTAATTATATTTGATAAATATTATGACGCCACTGGGTTACATATAACCTAAGCCGCTCAGATTGGTTTCGGTCGATATTAGTAAATCACGTGATAAAGTGACGAATTTTAAATTTATTATTTTATTTACTAAGTATAATAATCACTAAACAGTTGTTAGTATAATATAATATAAATTGATATTAATAAATTAGGCTAAATTACAATCTATTAATAGATAACTCGATAAAAATCACAACAAAGAACGATCTAATCCTGCCTGTATTCCCATTTTATAATTTGTTACATTTATTTAAATAGAGACTTGGTTAAACGATCAAACGTCACATTTTGACAGTTATTTCCATAAGTAAAAAAAGATTTTTTTTATTGATTATTAAGGTTCTCTTAGCCTAGATCACTTCTGAAAAATATTAGTTAATTTACCAAAAATCGTTCAATTACTGCAGCCCGATATAAAAGTAGAAAAGAACATCAAAAATTTATTTAAAAATAAAATATATTTATTACCGCATATTTGTTTCAAAGTATCTAACCCAAAAGAGAGATCCTGAAAGCAAAAAAAAAAAAAAAAAAAAAAAAAATAATTAAAAAAATAAGAAATATAACATCCAAGCAAGAAAAATTTATCGCAAAAGAAAAATAATAAATGCGTTAGAAAAGTAATTCGATATGATAATATTATTTTTATCACAGTATCTAATTGGTGGATTATATAATGAATAATTAAAATAATTTTTTTTTTGAAAAAAATTTAAAATGTCTTGCAATAAATAATTCTCAACCCAAGTTTCATTTGTGTCAAAACGTATGTATAAATCTTTATCTTATAAAATATAAATTTTTTAATTTATTTAATAAATTACGAAAAACTTCGAAATTTTCTTGAAAAATCCTCAATGAGAATAGTTTATTACAATAAAATCATTTATAAATAAGGTCAGGTAAATTTAAAAAAAAAATATTACTTCTAAACTAGAAAAAGTGTAGAATCAAAAAAAAATTTTTTTTTTTGTTGCATTCTATAATTAATAAATATATTGTCAAAATTCGAGATCAAAAATTAAAATTACGATTCTCAATTATTATGGGCATGTTATTTTGACAGAATGAGCTTTCACTGAAGGATGAAATGTTTTATGATCTTTTCCAGCTACAATCACGGAGTCTTTACAGCCATAACTGTCGAAAAACTCGTACTTAGTACCGGGTACGCTAACATCGCATTCATTGAAAGGATCAGCAGGTTCAGTTCCATAACAACCGGAATCACCACCAAGAGTATGCGTAAATTTACCCTTGCAATCTAAATAAATTAAGATAAAATTAAATGAAGAGCTTTAAATATGAACGAATAAACTAATTTGATGAGAACTTACAAACTAAGCATTGTTTCGCATAACTTTCAGTAGCTAAACAAGCAATCAAGAATAACATAATTAATTGGACCTTCATTTTGATTTTTTTTTATCAATTAATGAGTTTACTTATTTATTGTTTAATATATTTTTTGAGATCTGTTTGATTTTTTTGAAGAATTGAATTACGAAAAGGCAAGGTTTTTATACTTAAATGTTTAATAAGAAACGACCTCAATTTAAGTTATAGCATTGCATTGGAGGCGTAAAATTTTTATGTGGAAAGCGGGCCGAAGAAAACAATTACAACAAAGTCTGATCATAATCAATGGCTTTCTTCCGAAAGTTATTTATTGAAATATTATTTGAAGTAGTAAATAATTTCGCTTCTTTACAATAGTTTATAGCAAATGAAGTTTCAAATACATAATTTTGTGAAATAAAGCAGTCCCATATTTATTATATCAATTTTCTATCATTTTGATTCAAGTTCACTAGACAATGAACCGTTCCCAATACAATGTCTTTGAAGTAACAAGCCAAGTTTCGTGGGAATGGACCTTACAACTGCGCCAGAAATAAATGAATCTTAATTTGGAAAGTGTTCAACGCCTCAATAACTTACGATCCTTGTAACTTGTTTGTTTTCTTCAGCCGCAGATTATGAAATCCTTATTGACTCAAACATTGTTCATTATCAAATTAAGAAAGAAAATATTTTGAAAAACAAAGCCATCCTGTGGCTGATTCCGAAATAAAAGTGCTAACTTGATTATTTACCATCAATTTTCAAATGTGATTTTCCAAACCTGTATGATGATATTTCATGGTGATTATGGCGTTTCTTCAGCCGCAGTTTATTTATATAAGCTATCGGTAAAAAACATTCAGAGGCTGATCAGTTGCTTTCCGATAATAATGTAGCTTGTTCATAACAGTAAATATTACATTATCAATTTATTTTAAGAAAAGGCATCAGCCCCCCGATTTTCATAATTTATGACGCAAGCACATCAAATAAATTTATCTATTTAGATGGGAGGAAAACTGCCGGGAAAAATTAAAAATGAGTTGATTCATATATATTAAAAGTAAAATTGATTTTCCCGCAGTTTCCCCCTTTCTATTACAAAGGTTAATATAATACTAAACGTGCAAAAAATTTTAATCGCAATAAAAAATTAAACCACTTTAAATGTTCTACTTATTATGACAAAGAATACAGCGGTGGTGTTGGTATCTCCTCAGTCATCCGATTTTTTTTTTCGAAAATTTTCGATTAGTTCATTTTTATTCCAATACTATGGAGTTTGAGCTAACCTTAGAATAAACCTAGAATCAAAACACCTTTATCAATTATAATTTTCTCTTTTGTATTATTTTAATAATACCATATTAAAATAAGGATCTTTTTGGAACAAAATTTTCAAAGTTATTTTATTTATTAAGCAAATTGAACATTCATTACTAAGTCGGAATTTTCGAAAACTCATTTAGCAATTAAACTTACCGTAAATTGATATTTTTTAATTAGTTCAATCGGCGCAAAGAAGTAGAAAATAATATATAGTATAGCTTTGTTTAGTTATCTTTTACCGTTATAAACATCCAATACTAAATACATTTTTTTAACGTTGATGACGCAATTTGCGTGTGTTACGATTAGTGCTTGAGCCGGTCAAATCGACCCGATTTAACCAAATAACCGTCGGTCAAAATGACCCGAATGATTTGATTTGTAAAATTTCTAATAACCATAATCATTTGTAACTTTTCACAATAAGTAATACGTAAAGTCATGCGTAGTGAATTACAAAAGGAAAAAAGATCATTGATACATAAATCTGCTACGTTTGATTTATCAAAGTACGAATACCACTCCCAAAGCTTGATAAAAATTAACATCATTAAATATATTGACCCAGAAGGGTCTCAAAAAGGTCAAATAATTTCACTGTAACTAATATTAAAAGTAATTAGCATAAATATCCATACATACATATAAATAATGTTCCGATTTTTTATTAGCAGAAAGCAATAATCGTATAAAAATTATATCACAGCTAACTTGCGTTAGAAACTTTATTTTTTCATACCATTGATCACATCCTTAATATTCTCTGATTTCGGGGTTTTAAATGTTGGTGATTGCGTAATAATATTTAGAGGTGTGCGATACCCATCTTCTTCATCGGAATCATCTAGAAATTTATCAATATTGACACCTTATCAGACAAGTTCCCGAATGCCAATTTCCCGAATATACCTTTTCACGAAGTAAAATTTCCCGAACGTTAGTTTCCCGAACTGGACATTTTACCGAAACATCCGAATTCCCGAATGCCAATATCCCGAAATCCAATTTCCTGAGTAGTCATTTTCCCGAATTCTAACTCCCCGAATCCCGAATTCTGACATCC